ATATGAAGAAATCGAAAATTTCGCGACTGTCATCTCATTCTCGGTATTTACAGGAACTGGCTCTTAAATATGTGGATACAGCTGGAGCTAATAAGAGGTGCCCATGTGTTTCTTTTCTGTAGATTTTTTTTTGCAGCAAAAAGAAATGTGGACAATGATACAGCACGGTTTGACTTCGACGGTTCACCCCGTCGGTGGAATGGAAGAACCATTAAGAAAAACATTCAAGGCAATTCCACCCTCTTTATTCTAGAGAATGATCAGGTATGAATGAATTAGGTTCATTTGTTACATGTCGTAGATAGTAGGCGCGCTATGATTGGGTCCATTTACGGGCCGTATTTTACGAAAAGGCCCGGCTCTGCACATTTGATAGAAATGTTTGCCTTTCTTCATTATTAGACTGAGAGATAACAACATTTTATTTACCTCGAGTTCATTGTCCGTATTGTTAAATACGGCTTCGATCGAAGGCGTGCGCTGTTCGCACTATTGTCACTAGGCGAACGGAAAATCTCGCGAACCACGTCTAACAGAACGGACCTGGAACTCAATTGTAAAGGACTAGTTAGTTAAATTTGGACTGTTAATCTTCTTTTGAAGTTTAGTAGACTCATGAATGAATCGGGAGTTTGCCTCCAATTGTTTTACTCGGTTTGGACCTTGAATTTGGAATCCAGAGGTCTCGAGTTCAAATCCTCCTCCATGCCACTGTAGATATCCCGAATTCAGCTCCCGAAAACATAGCAGTGTCTAATACCATGACAAGTGATTGATTTATTTCATTTAAACATATAGATGGACACGTCTAGTGGAATATCTGCGAGCGATTCTGAGTCTTCACAAGGTTTGCACAATTCCCTTGACTGTGATGTAGAATAAGCCCTTTAACGGTAGTTTAGAAGTGTATTTCTTGTTATAAGGTATTATAAAATAAGACACTAATGGATCAAAATTCCTTTGAGTACTTTCAGCATTTTTATTCCATTTTACGAACGCGAATTGGACATTTGGATACATATAATGAACAAAACATTACATGGTCGCTTTGGGGTCTTGTAACATCCAGTATTTCTTGTCGCACGAAAGTAGCTTTAGCCACAAGTATTCTCATATACATCTGATTCGAGAAAGGTTATCGAAAAGAAGCATAGAACCATGTAGAACGTCGAGAACCCGGCGGATGGCTTAACCCTACAGTTAAGGTCTCTGATGGCGATAAAATGGAATAAAAATAAAATAGCGTTTGGAATATAATTTCAATGAACTCAGGATCAAAGTGACGGTGAGCTAGTACTTCTGCATTGTCGCATGTGCTTTCTGTAAGATAACCATTTCTAGAAACAGCTAGATGCACAGCCTTGAAATGCTGAGATGCAGAATTCCATCAAAATAACTCTTACAGTGGAAAAAATTCAATCCAGGAATAATCTACAGACCTCAGTGCTTTCCAAATAACTCCAAGAGCAATCTTAATGACAGATTGAAATCTGTTTGTATGTCAGTTAATGTTGCTGTTATCGCTGATGTTCACACTTGTAATTGATGATGATGATGATGATAACAACGACTATCTTGATGACGATGGTGGCGTTGAAATTTAAATTAATCATTTGTTGTAAACGAAGAGCTTCATAGTATTGAGCATGTAGATTTGAACAGTCCTTATGCCTCATCTTATTTTGACTATCTTACAGATGACACAGAGATGATTTCAATGTTACCATGGTTATGGAATAACCTTCATTTTGACGTTGAATGTAATCCAAATTACAGTCCTTTGCAGGTACATTTTTCTTGCCTAACCAAGACTATCAGCGATGATAGACTTACACCCCTTGCTTTTTAAAGCAAAAAATGCAATGTTAGTTGTCTTGTAGCCTATGTCTTGTGTCGCAAAATACCGTTCTGGCATTGTGATAAAATGATAGTGCAAGAACATGCCGTTCTCAAGAGGTTAAAGTCCAACTTCGTTGAATGACCTAGACCCGTGATCTGTGGTTCCATGTCGATTTTCACTCTCTGATAATGAACGTTTAGTAAAATTACTGTAAAATTAAGCTGCTAGAAAGTTAAATGGGTAATATTTCAATGTTACCTATTTTCTCTATGCCCACAGGGAGGAGGTCCTTGCGTCTTTACCTTTACCCCTGAGCTTCACTCTGAAGTAAAGTCAGTTTATGCTACGTTTGAAGGGTTAGGCACTCAAAAACTTGAGTTTTCGAAGCTTGGTTTCTTCCCAGGTTTGTAAACGTTTAAGAAATATTTTCCATCTTCTATCAAGTTATAGGAACACGATACAGCCAGCAGTTATTTAGTCGAGATAGTGACATCATTTACATGTAATTTGCACTCTTCTCGTCTGTTAGACTTTGTGCACCTTTTACTTATGTATAAAATCAGACGTCGAACAGTCCGGATTTCTGATTAGAGTGTAAATCACGATTTAAACAGGAGAAAGAACAAAAATGCATCATCAACATCCTCAAATCAGTTTGTTTTTTACCATTTATTAAATCCATTTTGAAATCACTGGCTATCTTTGCAATCTGATTGGCTCTCAGTGGTGCTATTTATTCACGAATCGCACTATTTTTTGCTCTAAATTTCATCTTTTTCTCAGTCAATGAGAATGGGACAGTAAAACAAAACAAACAATCAGATTTCAAGATTAGTTTAAAGTAATCAATAAAATTTCAGGAAAATGAAAGGCAAAAAGCCTTTGTGTGGAGAATTTTGCAACTACCATTGCCAAAACTTTGTTGTTATTGTTGTTTTTTTCCAAAAAAATTGACGAATTTAATTAATTACAGTTTCTGAATGACGATTATGAGCTCCTTCAGGCTGAAGACCTACTTTAATGGAAGTTTCCAACTTTCAGTGTCCATTTTGACGAATATTTTCTTCAACATCTGCTCAAGATCCGTATGATACCGATTCCAGTAATTTAACTATAAACAAACGAAAACCACACAACAGCAAATTCGGAGCCATCTCAAGCAGGTAGATGTTTCCAGGTTTCTGGTAGTTTCAAACGAAGCAACAAAAAAGAGCTCAACTCTGTCGTTGTGAATAAACATAGTCAAAATACGCCACACTGCACAAAATAGTGAATGAACGAACGTCTTACGAAGCCGGTGCCAGTCCCGCCATCTTGGAAATATCTTAAAACAAATGGCGCCGCAAGAACTTGACAAGGTCCTGAGTACACAGGATATGCACCATCAAATTCCTTCTCCAAAGACAATGAAAGGTCTCAGCCTCAACCACAGAAGAAAGGAAGGCCTTCCATAACTGATTCAGGCGACGAGAATTGAACTTTTATACCTGAAGTAGACTATTTTCGTTCTGACTTCAAAACTGCTTGTTTCCTTGTCATGCTCGAATGAGTTTTCGTCACATGACATCGTTT